GATGAGTGTAAAATGTCTAACCTATTGGGGTAGTTGAATTGTGTATCTAATGTCGTGAGTTCATTTTGTCTGCTGAGAAAGTTAAACTCTCCCTAAAACATAGCCATTGCCATGAACCAAGCTTGCAACACTCTGACAATTTCAACTATCAGGTGATTTCAAATAATTCAATCTTTTTTCTACCTTAAAACAATATTAATTTGCTCACAAGCTTCAATAAATTTTATTAAACCAGCAACTAATAAAAATAGAACTTTATTTAAAAAAATCTTTATGACGAGCATTCAAATAATTACACAAGTAATACCTTATTATTGATAAATTTTTTATTATGTAACACCTTTACAGGATTTTAAATTTTCTGAATATACGATATTAAATAATTTATAGCTAATATTCCTAATTTGTATTATAGTTATATTATACAATAGCTTTAAATTTTCTGAATATACGATATTAAATAATTTATAGCTAATATTCCTAATTTGTATTATAGTTATATTATACAATAGGGGAAAAAAAAGATTTATATGGAAGTTAAATAATTTATATTTATATTTTACATTTATATATAGTCAAAATTTTAAAATGTAATACACACTTTATCTAAAATTAAATTTTTAAATATCATATACGTACATATAATATATAAATTTTTGTTTTCCTCTGGATGATGAATACTAGTTCAAACTGTCATTGAACTGGTTTAAGCTTTATATTGCATTATATTATTTCTCCAAATCATCATTATTAATATTTTCTCTCTTCATTGAATTGATTTAGCTTTATACAGATTGCATAACATTATTTATCCAATTTATTATTGTCATATTTTCTAGTTCCAATGTTTTTATCCACAAAACAGAACAATTTTCTGTTGAAAGTTGATTTGCACAGTAAAGAAAAAGTAACCAAAAATTTTATTTAACGAAATTATTTTCCTAAATTTTATTTAACCAACTGATCAATAGAAAACAGGCACAAATCTGTCCCTAAAATTTATTTTCCTCCAGTCCCCCAAAACATTTTCTTCTCCACAAAAGCCCCTGTATTTATACAAAAATACTGAACCTACCCTATACACAATCTGTCTCTGACCTTCCCCAATGAGACAAAGGGCTATTTTAATGATAATTCTGAATTTTTTTTTTTTAAATATCTAAAATTGAATGAA